TCAAAACGGTTCCTTTAAAGTTACACAGTACTTGTTTACACTAAATAAAGCGCAAAAGGTACAGATTTTGCGCGAATGTAAATCAAACTCGATGTTTTATTAAACACTCGGCTGTTCCAGATATTCAAATTAAGCGGCGGTGTCGAAGCTAAAGCTGTATGGAGTCGGACTTGTGAAATATTAACGGCATTTTCATTAGAATTTGTTATAGTATTACATCGTAATGTACATAATGCATGTGTAAAACTCCTGGCTTTGATGGCGTCGGGTTTTTTTATTTCTATAAATGGGCAGACAAAATCAGAACTGATTTGGTATTAAATAGTCAGCGGAGACCACCGAAATTTCTACAAAGTTTCAATTGCAGTGGATAATCGCTGAACCATCCTACTAAATGGGACGCAAAACAGTTTCGCGGCAGTTATAGGCACTTTAACGATAAATAGCAAAATTTAATCATTGATGTTTGAACTGGATCCAGGATCATATGAACCTTGCCTGAAACGACTTTCTAAGCGAGTGTAGAAAGAAGATTGTATAGCAATGTACTGAGTGAGCATTGAGAGTGCTAGAAATGAACTCCTAAAAGATAAACTTCCCGTAGTAGTCCCGTAGTAGTCCCGTAGTTATCCCGTAGTAGATAAACTAATGCCGCTTTGCAGAACCAGTTTTGGAGTCACGATTTATAAAACAAAACCATACATAGTACGTATGTATGTCTTCACGATCAACGTTAAATTATGAAGGAATAAGATGGCTTACTAAAAATCTAACCAACTTCAATTGAATACAATTGAAATTTCGATTTTATGTCATGATTAACTACTGTTCAAGTCTAGGAGGACCGGCGGGTCTTGGACTCAAGCCTGATAAACAACGAAAGATATTAATTAACCGAATAAAGTCAAATTATAATAAGCACTGTCACGATATAAATTTAAGTGAAATAGATCTATTGTTTTTTTTGTTATTATAAAACGCATATCCATATTAATCGAGCCCTAAGATTCCCACCTCAGCTCCGTTCGCAATATTTACTCGTTACTTTCGGCAAACATTCCCGAACATTTCGAATTAAACTCGTACAAGAATATTAAGATTGTTTAATTATGTTATACAGCTTGCCTATGCACGGCCTTCGTCGTTGACTCGACTTATGTATTTCGTGTTTAATTAAATTAATTATTGATTTACCCCATTTATGTTACTTCACATTATATTCTCTTGGGAATCAGGTTGTGATTCTTTTATTTATTTATTTGGGAAACCAACAGTACAAAATAAACAATGATATTTTAAAAAATAGCTAAAACAATAACCAAACATGTTTCCACCATCTAAATCACTTTTATAGTTTAATGATTCGATAATATTGCTGTTAGTGAAAAAATAGGGTTTACTGTAAATAAATAGAGTAGCATTTCATGATATTTTTATAAGATTCATTTCAGCTCAGCTCGTCGACGTTTTTTTTCATTTCTTTACATACCAATAGTTTTCTTCCTATTCCAATTCCTATTACAAATAAAAGGGGCTGACTATTTTAAAACAAAACACAATCAAAATCTTAAAACAAATCAGAACCTAATTAAATTAACAACGTCGTTGTGTTTTGATTTTATTGATTTTGATTTCATTTGCGAAATATGAGAAGTCGTTTACGAGGAACTTTTTTTTATATTGCTTAGACGGGTGGACAAGCTCACGGGCCATCTGGTGTTAAGTCATTACCGAGCCCATAGATAACTACAACGTAATCCACATAAGAGTTCCAAGGTCTCACTTTAATAGTACAACGGCTGCTGCGCCCTTCAAACCGAAAAGCCTTAGTGCTTCACGGCAGAAATAGGCAGGGTGGTGGTACCTACCCGTGCGGACTCACAAGATGTTCTGTCACCAGATTTGAAACATGTAATTACATACACATTTATCCATTAAGCCGTCTCATTGTTTTTAGCTGCGGTAGGCACACGTAATTTTAATGTTAAAAAATAAGGAGGAAATAATCGAAAACATCGTCTTCCCTAACTTTATTTCACAGTCATTAATAACTAAAGTACCAGGCGAACATAACTCCAGTGGAGTTACTTCGCTATCTGCTTTCGCTAACTACTAAAAGATGGTAATGAAGCGTACTCACCTTTCTATACCTATCCCTTTTAAACATTCTAAATCTCTGACTTTCTGTCTCGCTTCGAGAGCCTGTCACGGCCACAGCGATCTAGACGGTGACAAGAAATTAATTAGGGGAAACTCCGGAAAATAATGGTCCGCCGTGATTTTTAAACGAAATTTATATTCTACACTTCATTTATTTTCCAGGCGACATGACACCTCGGAAATTATTAGAGAACGGCTCCGTCTTCTTGTAGGTAAAGTTTCTTAACGAGGATCGGTTTTTTTTATTTGAATTTTCTTTGTTATACTTTGGAATCGAACATTTGAATGGTAGTACTTTCTGCGATGAAAATAAAATTGTGGAGAATTTGGTTCTTACAGAGTTCTTTGTATTTCTTTTTTTGAAAGAACTAACATCGAAAAGAATATTATTTTTAAGATATGCTCACCAGTCATAAAGCCTGGAGTTTTCTTAGATAGTAACATAAGCAAGCCCTGATAGAAATGAAACACCATTACATCTACAAAGCACTGACGCTTTAGTGATGTCTATCTTTCTGCTGCTGTATGGTGGTGGGCATACAAATCTTACCACAAACATTTAGGACTAGAGTTGAGGATAAGTGCGATCAGGCAGACCGATCATCGAAGGTCTTAGTGTTGGAAAAGATTTGCTCAATTGGAGGAAACTAAGGTAAAATGCAGCAGAGATTCGAGGCCTCGTGTAGATCACTGCTCCTACCTCTGGGCATAAGCTTCCGAAGCTACTTCCCTTAGACACCGCACAGAAGAAGGCCGTTCGGATTACCAATAATTCTATTGTCACCGATTGCTTGGAGCTTCTGGGCTTACGGGGAGCTTCGGTTTTTTGTATGTGCACTGTATGAGTGCTCTGAGAAATCGCTTGAGATTATCTTATCATCTCGTTTTTACCATCGCACCCCCGCCACCGGAGCAGAGCACTTACTATCAAGTAGTCGTAAGTATGCTCGTCTGTCTATAACGTGTCTGTGTCTGAGGGTGCCCCTGGGTATGCCGATGTTACATGAGGCCCAGTCGCGTCACTCCCCAAAAGGTGGTCTATGGGTCGATGAAGTGGGAATCGCACATCCGCATCTTCAGTTAGTTGAATAGACAAACACCACGTAGGATATATGCCAGAACATTATTTACAATATTATTTGTTTTACAAAAATTTCGTGTGAACGTGTTATTACAAAACAAACATAAGCACGATAATTATAATGAAATCACTGCTGATAGTTATCGGGGCGCCCTCGACTCTAAATCATTAATAGGCAAATTATGTCGAACAGTGCAAATACTTTACAGAAGGTAAACTATGAGTGTTATTGGTCCAAGTTTAAATTAGAAGCGAAAAAATTTCACTTCAACGCAACTTTTATGAACGGTACCGCATCATAATGTTTTATAATTGCTGAATAAATAAATTTATATAGTTGATCATAAAAGTATTTGTAAACGTTTTTAAACGATTATTCCAATTGATGTGTGTTATCTGTGCAACCTGTGCTAATGTATTCTGATGTGGCTTGAGAGCAATTATATTTTCATTGTGTCCTTTATAAGAAATCTGATTAGAGTTTTATTGAAATACTGCCAAATTCCAATATAAACTTGAAACTATGTTTTTTTAATGTTTATTTTTTATTGCTTAGATAGGTAGACAAGCTCACGGCTCAACTGGTATTAAATGGTTATCGGAGCCAATAAACATCTAAATCGTAAATGCCACCACTTACCTCGAGACACGAGTTTTAAAATCTCAGTATATACAGTAAAATGGCTGCCCCATCCTTAAAACCGAAGCACATTACTGCTCCATGGCGGAAATAGGCAGGCTGGCAGCCAGCTCAGATTTGGCGCTATTGCTAATCAATAGATATCATTTATGGGATAGGCGACAATCTCGCTTAAATTACTGACTCTAATGAACTGTGGACCTGCTAATTAAACGCACGAAATTGTGTAATCCGATATCGTCACGCCACAACAACGTATAACAACTCAACGGTGTCGCGTCGTCGTGTGCTAGAGAAAGTGTATCAGATAATATTGTAAGGTCCTATTGTGAGCCCACATGGTTAGATACACAAACATTTTTGTCACGATCGCAAACGCGCGTCATTTCTTCGGTAGCAAGTTTTAAGTAGGAGCATACGTGAATACGTTTTACTTACATTTCTTCTTTAATAGTAACTATACAAAAAGTTATGCCTATGTGTCTGGTTCACACTAATGTACAGCTGCTTTTTAAAACTGCAGCATTTTCGGTTGTTTTAATCATGTAGACAGGCTGAAGAGTTGGCCTGATATGTACCATTTATTGGTCATAATCATAATATAGATGATAATAAGGAATGTGAAAGTTTGTGAGTATGGATAGAATTTCGTTGTTCTTTGACGCATAACTACTGGATGGATTTTGGTGAATCTACGCACATAAATAGCGTATAACCTAAATTGATGTTGTTCTGGCCTAAAGGATAAGACCTTCGGTGCATTCGTATCTTGCGATGCATCGGTGTTCGGATCCCGCTGGCGGGTACTACGGGTTGTAACTATACTGAGACCTTAGAACTCGTATCTCAAGTTGGGTGGCGGCATTTACGTTCTAGATGTCTATGGGTTCCAGTAATCACTTAACATCAGGTGGGCCGCGAGCTCGTCTACCCAATTAAGCAATAAAAAATCGTACAAAAATAATTTACTTCGCATTTCAAACCTCGATTTTTGATTTTTTAGGTTGAGCATGATTCTAATCAAGGCTTAGTTGAAAGTTATATTTCTTATATCATACTTTGATTTTGTTACAGAAATAGAATATAATCCTCGTACCCAAGTGAGTGTTACTAGACAAAATGTTGTTTGAAAAATCATATCAATCTCAAATAATCCAAGAAGAGCTAAACAGCACAAGGAAAACTAAAAATTCTCAGTCGATGAAAAAAGATGGGAGCTTTAACATAACGAAAAAAGCTAAAAAATATTTGGTGCTGTTTATGAAGAGTTCTTCAATACATGGATTGAATCACATTGTGGCAGCCAGAAGACATCCTTTAGAGATGTAAGTAAGATAACTTGATTAAGATATTTTTTTATCCTCTACAATTAAAAGTTCACCATCGTTTACATCTAAAGAAACACAAGATTAGCACCATCAAAAAAATCACACGAAATCTCTTTCGCTTCCCCCGCTTTGCCTAAAAGCCGTTCGTAACTTTTGAAAGATTTGTGAACAAAAGTTCTTTTTTTTTGTTTTTGACATAAACACGCTCACCCATGATTATGACCCATGGTTCTTGGACTTCGCAAGGTAAAATGATGTATGGAAATGTGTATATGGTAATACGTGGTCCCTTTCTACCCTGACTCCTTTACTTTTCTATCACATGCAATGGTATCAGGCGTTTTCCGCTCATCAAAAAACTTTTTTTTTATTACTTAGATGGGTGAACGAGTTCAAAGCCCACCTGGTGTAAAGTGGTTACTGGAGCCCATAGACATATATAACGTAAATGCCACCCACTCACCCACCTTGAGATATAAATTGTAAGGTCTCAGTATAGTTACAACGACTGCCCCACCCTTCAAATCGAAACGCCTAACCTACCCGTGCGGACTCACAATAGGTTCTACCACCAGTAATTACGCAAATTATAATTTTGCTGTTTTTTTTATTTTTATTACACGATGTTATTCCTTCACCGTGGAAGTCAATCGTGAACATTTGTTAAGTACGTATTTCATTAGAAAAATTGGTACCAGCCCGCTTGGTAAGCTATGTCAATTCTCTTAAAAGAGCTCACTAAGGATAATGCACCATTTATTTTACAGTCTTCTTTGGCTGATAACTGTGGGTCTTTGCGCATTCGGTTCACTCTATCTCTCCCAAACGACATGGAGCAGGTATCAGTCCTCTCCCACTGTCATCTCTATGGATAGAGATATGTTCGCTTGGAACACCACCTTCCCTTGCGTGACGATTTGTCCTGATAATGTATTGGATGAGAAGAAGCTTGCTATTTATCTCAGGTAAGTAGATAATTAATATTTGAAGCATTGTAAGGCTGACCGTACTCTGATGGGCCTAGTGATACCATTCTTTGGCCTTATTCAAACAGATAGACTTTGTGCTAGTGAAACTATTTTTAAATTAGCTAATTCTTTTAACATAAATCTCGACGTACCATTTATGGGTGATAATCATGATATTCTATGTATTAATATAAAATTGTGAAAGTTTATGAGTATATAGAATTTCGTGGCTCTTTGACGCCTAACTACTGGACGGATTTTCGGTAATCTATGCACAAAAATAACGTATAGCCTAAATTGACACAATGGATATTATGTCGTAAATGGTATATCCCCAAAATTACCAGATAAATGGGGTAAATACGACAATGTGTTTTCTGGTTTTTGATACTCCGTGCAAAAAGACCTACAAATCTACTCATAGCTTATGAACCAGATAGTTATATATATGTATTATAAATACGACAGTGTGTTCTCTAGTTTATAATACTCCGTACAAAAAGACCTAGAAATCCACTCGTAGCTTATGTACCAGATAGTTATACAAGCCACTCTTAATCATAGGAAAACGGAGCCTATTTCCTATATTCATCCAACGCTGAATGAACAGTTTGGTAAATATGGACTAATTCGTAAGTGTTAGTGAACACATTTAATACGAACAATGAGAAGACTTGAATTACTTACCTCATGAAATACTGTTACTTACAGATCATTTTTAGTTAGTATAAGTATTTTTCAGATCCTTCAAAGAGGAGGACAAGTCCACACTAGAAGCCTTTATTAGAGGTCTATCAAATATATCCTATGACAACTTTAATACGGTTCCAATTTATGACGGCATTCCTTCAGACAAGTACTTGGAGCTTATTCTTAATTTCACAACAACATTCAAACCTACCCTGACTATAGGTGTGACTGGTGTAACTTTGGGAATTGTGCCCACAATAACTGAGATGGGACTATGTTATGCTGTGAACTCAAAAGTGGCTGTATATAATTCGCCAGAGTAAGTATGGTTTGAATATATTCGTAATAGTGGTAGGGTATTTAGTTATTTTAATACCCGTACACTGACGAGTTTAAAGGGAGCATTGAAACTCGATCCATCAATATTGGATCTAGTATTGGAAGCCAAAGCTACACTTTAAGAGTTACTGCAATTGTTTTAGATATAGGTCCGCTAATAGATGGGACTTAATAAAGAAACCAAATGAAACTTTGTTTATACATCCCTTAGACGGTGAAGTATATGCTCAAGTTATGAACTTATCGACTGGGTACAAAGTAAGTAACGTCTTAATATTTTATGTTTATTACCTGAAGAAACTGTTATTTGGTAATAGTTATTGTTAACTATGTAATTGTAGTCTTAAAGGCTCAAGCCGTTTAGCAAACTTTTTAAGCCTTGAAACAGATCTTAGTACTCTGAACACATCCTCAAGTGAACTATATTTCAGACCAAATTATTGCTATCGATTGTCAAAGGCGTTGTAACTTACACGTGTTAAAACTTGAGAAACCAAACCAAACACTACTTTTTGAAGCAGTTCTATCATCTCCCCAGGTCTACATCCATGGCCCGTCTGAAGTACCAGATGTAGCGACAAAGAACATGTACTCAGAGAAAGATTTTTATCTCAAACTGTACGTTACTGCTGTAGCTATATACACAACTTCAGATGCAGCGGAGTAAGTAGTGGACGTCATCAGCTAAGCTGGGTAGACTAATAGTGGAAGATTCACAGGTTTATCTGAACGCCATTTCTTTTGTGACTTCAAGGAAAGCCTCAGAAGAGTTGGAAGCGGTTTGGATTTGCCCTTTGAATTAGTAATGTCCAAGGGATACTATTCTGTACTATATACTAAGAGAACTAAAAATTAAAACCTAATATGTTACCTTGAACAACTGTTCTGTGTTTAAGAACTTTAAAATTTTTACTTAATATTTTAAATGTAGACTTTGTCAAGTTTCTGAAAGTGGTAAATAACGTGATATTAGTAAACGGTTCTATATATATATATATATATATATATATTTTATTGCTTAGATGGGTGGATGAGCTCACAGCTCACCTGGATTTAAGTGGTTACTGGAGTCCATAGACATCCACAACGTAAATGCGCCACCCACCTTGAGATATAGGTTCTAAGGTCTCAAGTATAGTTACAACGGCTGCCCCACCCTTCAAACCGAAACGCATTACTGCTCCACGGCAGAAATAGGCAGGGTGGTGGTACCCACCCGCGCGGACTCACAAGAGATCCTACCACCAGTATATTTGGTTAATTATATCCGAGTATAAAGTATGTAATAAAGAATAATATTCGTAACAGACTGAGCATCTCCCAACGTCGCTGTCGCTTCCCCGAAGAGAACAATCTCCTGCATAATTCGATATACTCCTACACCATGTGTCGGATGGAATGTAGAATTCGACTCTGCTTAAAGTACTGCAGATGTATCCCGCATTTTTATAGGAAAATTGGTATGTACCATTTACGACTTAAACATCACGGGTAGGAGTGATCATTTTATTTCAGCTGCAAAATTCAAAGTCAATCAACTCAGGTGGGGCGGGGGTAGGGCGTATTGGAAGCCCGCATGAATTGGTATCAAATTTGATTTTACCGTCAGGCATTCGTTCGTTATGATTTGAACATGGAGACAGCCAAGAAAACCTAAAAAGTCGGGAAACTATGAATATTAGTAAAATAATTTTGCTATTAAATACTTACTAGGCGCTTTAATATAGTACATCGAAGATTGTCTTGTGCATAGCGGCTATGCATTTTCCTATGTATTATGAGCACTTCGTATTTTGAGCCACTTGTTTTGAGACATGAGGTTGAGGACTCAATTGGTTGCGAATTTATTTCAAAGTTAGAACGGGAATGATAAAATTCTAACTGCCTAATTATTCTTTAGAAATACAAATTAGATTTGAGAAATTTGCTTTTATTTAATTTTCAGGGGACGAACGAATATGTGATGTAAAAGGACTACAATGCTTATCAAAGTACAAAGGTCAGTGGTGCGGTAATGCTATATTTAATTTTATATGCCGATTATTGAAACAGAATAAGGAGCAATCTGGTGACGGTACACCGCTATTTCCGATACATACTCATGTACTAATCCGATCTGACACAAGATAATCAAAGACTCAAAATATCGATACAAGTTCATAGACATAATTGTGTAATGTTGAACAATACTGACGATTTAAAAAAAAAACATTGACATTTTTTTTTAGATGAACTCACCAAGCTAAGACAGAAAAACGGTATGAAGATAGACTGCGGTTGCTATCCATTGTGCGAAGACATTAATTATGTCCTCCAATCTAATGTGAGTAGTAGTAAGTAGTAAGCGGTATTTACGCAAACTGCCCTAGATATAACCATTACAAGAAAAGCTTGACGTATAAGCTAACCCATACATCAGCCCGCTGAGTTTCTCGCCGGCTTTTCTCAGCGATCGTGATTCCGATCCGATGGTAGATTCATTCACCAAGCAGCTGCTCTTACTAGGGCAGATGTTAGCAATCTTCTCAAGCTAAGCCCCGTAGCCTCACCCACTAAGGCGAAGCCAGAATGACTCCTCGAAACTAAGTAGGTAAAAAAGAAGGTACAATCATCTTGGCTAATTGTCATAAAGTATGAATATTCCAGTTTGGAGGGTGGGTTAGAAATGATTTAATAAGACTTCGTGTCTCAAGTTCGCGATGTCTGTGAAGGCATAAATGTAGGATAGATAGCACCGTCCTTCCCAATTCTATGGTGGACCATCGTGCATTACTCCTTGAAAGCGGGACAGTTGTTATATGATACAATTAATATTTAGACCCCACGTCTCAAGGCGGGCGACGGTACCTATTCACGTTATTATGCCTGTGGGCTCCAGTAACCAATAAATACGAGGTGAGCCATGAACTCGTTCAGAAAAAATATATTTAGAGAATAGTTGTATCTGAATCGACAGCTTAAAAGCAGACCGCTAGTCGCTTATTAAGCTTCGTGTTTTTTCATCATACGTCTATGTAACCATGAATAGTGTACCACAAGCTTTTTTTTATTGCCCATGTAGGCACATGAGCGGCCTTCTTGATGGTGAGTGGTTAACGTCGCTAATGGACATCAGCAATGCAATGGGCAGAGCCAAGCCGCTGCCTACCGCTTAAAGCTACGAGTCCAATGCCCAGTTGGAGTCAATTATTCGTGTATTAGAGATATCAGTGCACTTTATCTTGTCTACCAGAAGCATACAGGTTCATATAAACTACAGTTACTTGTGACAGGACCTCTTGTGGGTCCGCGCGGGTGGGTACCACCACCCTGCCTATTTCTGCCGTCAAGCAGTAATGGGTTTCGGTTTGAAGGGTGGGGCAGCCGTTGTAACTAAACTTGAGACCTTAGAACTTATATCTCAAGGTGAGTGGCGCATTTACGTTGTGGATGTCTATGGGCTCCAGTAACCACTTAACACCAGGTGGGCTGTGAGCTCGTCCACCCATTTAAGCAATAAAAAAATTAAAAAAATAAATAAAAAAATACAGAAGAAAAATATACTTTGGAACTGTTGAATGTAGAGTCGTTAACTGAATTTAAATTGAAACAGGCTCTACAACCTTGGTTTTTGGGGACGAATTTCCAATGGGGCATGGTGACCTACCCTCGAATGCGATACAGACGTGATATTATCTTTGGCTTCACTGATGTATTGGGTGAGTTTTAGTATCAATACTTAGTAAAATCAAGCTCCTTCCTCTGTGAGTATTAGCTGCTCATATCTGGAATACCTTTATAAAATATTTTAAAACAATAGTACAAAGGCCACCCCTTCAAATAAAAAATGCTTCGTGCTAGAAATAGGTAGGGGGTGAAACACACCCCTGCGGGCTGACAAGACGCCCTACCACGAGCGTTTTATAAAAAGAAAATATTTTGCAATGGACATCATGAGTGGTAAAGCTTGAAAAATATTCGTTAAATTTAATTATACTTATTACGTATTACTTATATTTATTAATATTATAAAGCTGAAGAGTTTGTTTGTTTGAACGCAATAATCTCAGGAACTACTGGTCCGATTTCAAAAATTCTTTCTGAGTTAGATAGCCCATTTATTGAGGAAGGCTTATAGGTTATATAATATTACGCTAAGACCAATACAAGTGGAGCACCCATAAAGCTTTAATTGTGAACTATTCCACGCGGACGAAGTGGCGTGCAAAAGCTAGTTATACATATAAAAGGAAAGCAATATTTGGCATGAATTTAAGTCTTTTGCAAGCAGTTAATACATATCTATACGGGAAAGCTTATAGATCGGGCCGACACGTGTCTGGCTTAATGTCGTCAGCACACAGAACGCACTTACTAAAATATAATTGTGTTCTTCCAGTGGCTGTCGGAGGTATGGCTGGTTTATTTCTAGGATGCAGTGTGCTCAGCTTCATGGAAATCCTTTACTTCTTAACATTGAGACTTGTCTGTTATGCTAAAGTAAAATAATAAGACATACAAAGGGTATTAAGCTATTGCATAGCTTTTATCGGCTTTGAGCGCGGCGACCGAATCAAGAAATTCCGTAACGAAAATAAAACCTAACACCCCCACTCCGCCTACCATGTAGCTCGCGTTCAACACATTCACACGTTGCGCTTGTGTAGTGTTTGTTAATAAGCGCGCGGCGTAACGTCGCACTGCATGCGCATCATGAAAAGTCTGCCCATCTCTCTCTTGCGCGGTCTAGCTTATGAGTGTGAAGGAGACAGTTAATGTTTTGCTTTTGTTAATGTTTATAAATATAGCGTGGTCTTATTTTATTATTGTTTTAATATTAAACTATTATAGCCTAATTATAATTGCATAAGTTGATAAAAATGCTATACAATAGCTTTACCGCGGCAGTCCCCGAGTGCCACACGTGTTTTTTTTTTTTTCCTAACTGTTTGACACTCACGACCTACTTTCTAGATTTTGGCTAGACAGGAGTTGCGGTGGTGGGAGTGAATAGCTGGAAAATACCTGATGCATGCGATGCCTGATTGTATAATGATAGTGCCAAATAGATAGATAATGATAGATGCCTAAAACGTATATCATTTAAATCTACATTCATTAATTTTAATATCATCAATATTACCTTAATTAAGCATGACTCGAATTTCGGGTCAAAATACACCCCCAGGTAAATTTAATTAAAGGGCCACCATAATTGTAGGAGACACACACTGGGTTCTATTAACAGATCATAAATTTAAATTTGTTATGCGAGATCCAACCAATAATTGCATTAAATTGAATTTCAATATTTTATAATATCAGTTTCTTTCAGTTTGTATGGGCGGGTACTGTTACGGGTGGTAGAGAATAGTGTGATTTAAAAAAAAAAAAAAAAAAACTTAAATGTGTAGATGAGCTCACAGATCACCTGGTGTTAAGTCGTTACTGGAGCCCGTAGACATCTACAACGTAAATGCCCCACCTACCTTGAGATATAAGTTCTAAGTTCTCAAGTATAGTCACAGTGACAAGTATAGTTTTAGTGAGTCTAAAATGGAAGGTTGTTAAGGATTGGTCGGTATGATTTCACATCACAAATTGAGTGACATTTGGGGCTTTGCATATGAAACCAAATATGTTTTTATATTCAAAACAAATTTACCCTAAAGTCTAATTTCTATCAAGTCACAAATCTTTGGTTTGATCTTTGTTACATAGCACCGTCCAGCTTAACCCTGTAAGCACCTAGTTAATAATTAAGTACGGCAACGTCTCGACCCCTGTGATGGCTAATTTAACGACAACAGTATACGGGTTAAATAGGTAACAATTGCTATTGATTGGTAACTGTTGTTTGTGGGTTTCAAAATGCTGCTGTTGTTTTAAATATTTTGCTATTTGTTGTTTGTTGGCTAAGTTATCATCTTTTTTTTTTATTGCTTAGATGGATGGACGAGCTCACAGCCCACCTGGTGTTAGGATATATTCTATGACATACATAAACGATTTTTCAACTATTAGAAATTTGGGCTGACTGTTCCGTTTTATCTGGGTTAGCTTCTATTGAAGACTAGCTGATCCGACAGACTTCGTAGTGCCTCAAACGATAAATAAAAGACATAAACATTTGTATAAAATAAACTTAAAACAAACAAAAGGAATCCGTCCGACGGGGGACACATCAAAGGAAAAACAAACTTGTTAGTTTATTATATAATTCCGAGAATTTTCATATTTATCTACCTTCTAAACCTTCTCTGGACTTCCATAAATAATTCAAGACCAAAATTAGCCAAATCGATCCAGCCATTTTCGAGTTTTAGCAAGACTAACGAACAGCAATTAATTTTTATATATATAGATAGTGTCTAAGGTATTTGGTATTCTAGCTCTGTTTGTTTTGTGCCTCTTGTATAGATAACGTAATCACAGGGCGGTTTCATTGAATCCGAAAGTACAACTTATTAATAAAACCACGCCAGGAACATGTTAAATACGTAAACATATTTCGCAACACCGCTAGGCAGCCAACTACTAAATAGTGCTTCCCACTGCTGTGTCGATAAAATGAAGCCGTTGTCGACTTATCTCCGGCCACAAGACGTCGGTAACAACGCGTCATAAAAGGCTTAAAGTAAAACAGGGAGTGAGAACGACTTAAGATTATTGTTTGAAGCCACGTACAGCGTTGAGGTGTAATTTAATTCCGAGACGTTCCGCGTGAGTACGTTAATATTATCGATATTGTCAACGCGGAGAAATAAAAGCCATGATGAATGAGAATAATTAATAATGCCAGATCCTGCTTATTTATTTGCGTAATTACTGGTGGTAGGACCTCTTGTGAGTCCGCACGGGTAGGTACCACCGCCCCGCCTATTTCTGCCGTGAAGCAGTAATGCGTTTCGGTTTGCAGGGTGGGGCAGCCGTTGTGACTATATTGAGACCTTAGAACTTATATCTCAAGGTGTGTGGCGCATTTACGTTGTAGATGTCTATGGGCTCCAGTAACCACTTAACACCAGGTGGGCTGTGAGCTCGTCCACACATCTAAGCAATAAAAAAAAATAAAAATAAAAAAATTGCAGTTTAATGTAAGTCACAAGTTCACATCTCAATTTAATTTGGAAACAAACCCAAATCTGTTCTCTGATCAAAGAATTGAAAAATTTAACGACTAAGTTTTGTTGATTGTTCAATAACAATGAATTCATCTACTGTCCACCTTTGGGCGAGGTAAGGTATAAATGGAAGCGAAGCCACAAATGGAACCCACGAAGCCAGATACCTTTGTCCGGGACTAGATAATTTTTGTATTCAATTTTAACAATATTTGCTATGTATATGTGCATTACTATAATTCTCATGTTGTATTTGTTATTTTAGCTGTTCTACACACACTCATTACTTTTAATTATTATTCTCTTAATCCTTATCGCAGGTCTGCTGGAAGAGATTTCTTAAAGAAATAAGCAGTGCCTTTGCATATGATTTTCCTATTACTCTGTACTATGTCTTCTTTTTTGCGTGTATATAAATAAATAAATAATTTAAAAAAAATACATGTGTGCAATTCACACGTGGTAGAAGTGAAACCTTCCAAAATTAAAATACAATTATCCTAAACGTCTTAAGTATGTGTAAAATTTTGTCATTAGTAAATAATTGTAAGGTAGCGCCGTCTGTGAATTGATATTTTAATTTCACGTATAATCCTAAATTAAAATTCACTACAAGAGCACTCATACACACGTTAGTATTAAAAAATCTCACAGATGGCGCTGTATTAAATAGTATGTGTATTTCTGTCTCATTCCTTGCTGGCTTCATCCTACACATTTTTGTATTTGTGTCTCTTACCTGTCGTTTTTTCCGTTGCATCCGGTTTGAAATCACAACGATTCTAAAGAAGTTTTCACTTCAAAAATAATTTTCGTCTTACGATGAGTAATTATCAAGTAGGTATAACAGATATTATGTTCAGATATTTATTACATTCTAAACGATGTTTTCCTTGATAACGAAATTGTTTTATTTCCTTTATAATAATATCGATACGTTCTATGAGCTATATAAATAAGCATTCACCATTTCCCATCCCTATGTATAGTATTCATGTTGTATGTTTTGATTATTTCTGGTATCAAAGTGAAGTCTCACACACTGCTGAGCTCAAGTAATTATGACAATCTATAAACGTAATTATTGAGGGAGTGGTTAAATTGACGATAATATGTTAATTAGGTAGGTTTTTATACTTTTTTTACTGGTGGTAGGACCTCTTGAGAGTCCACGCGGGTAGGTACCACCACCCTACTTATTTCTGCCGTGAAGCAGCAATGCGTTTCGGTTTGAAGGGTGGGGCAGCCGTTGTAACTACACTTGAGACCTTCGAACTTATATCTCAAGGTGGGTGGCGCATTTACGTTGTAGATGTCTATGGGCTCCAGTAACCACTGAACACCAGGTGGGCTGTGAGCTCGTCCACCCATCTAAGCAATAAAAAAAAATTTTTTTTACTACTGAATTAAATTGTATTACAAGCTATTTGTATTCAACTAACAGATATAAGTACAGATTGGTAGAAGAAGGTATTGTAAGTTAATAAGAGCAGTTCTACTTTGCTAATTTTAGCCTTAAAACTGTTTTATTTTTCATTTCAAAGGGCGACAAAGACGACCAAATGAATGTCTGAAGATGAATGGTGGTATTCAGATTATGAAGCCACTTACAGGAATAGTAAGTGTCTATCTGCTGCTTATTTACAACAAGATGACTATTCGTCTCGTTCTATAACTAGACATATGTATACTCTAAGCATTCTCTTTCATTTGGACAAATTCAAATAGTATAGAAATAAAGCCAGTATTAATACCATCAGACGTCTTGAAACCGCTTGAATAAAGCGCTGATGATGGAAAAACTCTGCAATAAATCTACGATTCATACACCCACACCTTACGGCCATCCGTCATTTTTTTATCAGCAAAAAGGGCAATATCTACCTTAGGAAAAATGAGCAGCACCCGCCCTTAACGCCCTTAAGACAACTATTTATCGTTGGGAAAAAAATTGCCATAAATCAGGGAGTATTTTTATCTGGCAATCTTAAAGGTAGGGTAAATAAAGTATCGGACACGTGGATCGGCGATCTATTGTGTTATAAATGGTTTATGGGGTGGTTTCTAGGGGATGTCCGGGCCTAGAAAAGGTTTTTTTATGAAATTGACGCTTGCTATAACTTAATAGATGGATTCATCTTTCGGTTTTTATAACAACAGTAATGATATTTTCCCGTGCAAAACCAAAAGCATGATGATAAGATTTAAGGCAATCCGTCGTCATACAGACATAAAGACCGATATACAAACTATTGAAATGAATAAATAACCTGTAAGAGTTGCGAAGCTAGTTTCATTATATCCTGAATTATTATATCATTTGAATCCTTTTCACGGTGTACCTCCGTTTTGTTGCCAGTATCCGCTCATTAATCTAACAATGATCCTAAATAATTTGCGTAACCCTTTTCATCTAATG